CTCCTTTTCATTACAGTTACTGTTGCTGTTATTGTAATAATAATGGTGATTATAATAATAATGTTTTGCCTCATTTGAATTATTAGGCTGTTCTTGGCTCATCCCATGAGTTTTCCCCTTTTCTGATTCTCTTCCCCATTCCTCTGGAAGGATGTGTGGGGAGCAAGTGGCTGTGTTGTACTTAGTTGCTGTCTGGGCTTAAACCATGAAAATTAACAGAGAAATGTTTAATTAAATAAAGATTTATAATTTAATTTTTTCATATTGAGTTTACTCTACAACCTGCCTTTACGGTACCAAACTTTTCTTTAATATTACAATGTCACATGACAACCGGCTCCCATAATGGGAAGACTGCAAAGCTGCAAGGTAAAATCTGTCAAGGAGTAAACTCATTATAAACCCTCATTACCAACATGTTAAAAAAAAACCAGAAAAATACTGCATAGATGCTGCTTTTTTACTTTATGTTATTAATGTTTTTGACAAAAATCTGAAAAATTTCCCATAAGGGATGAATGCCACATTGATACAGAGCCAAGGGAAAAGCTTTGCAGCAGAAATTGTTCATTGACTCTGTGACTGCAAGTGTGCAGAAAGAGAGCACAAAGACTGCAAGAGCAAAAAGAATTGGATAACATTAATTTAAAAAACACAACAAAGCCAAGGCACAGGATTGCTGTGTAAACAGCTTTAACTGTATATATTTATTTCCAGTGGCTCTGAAAACAAATGGAAGATTACTGGGAAAAGATTAACTGTAACAAATGCAAGGAAATGTTTGAAGCAGTTAGAAAAGCTTTTTATAGTAGAGCAGTTAAATCTAGTTAATTGTGTTTGATTTTTGTTTTCATAATTACTTCCACTGTTTCACAGAACTCCTGCTGAATGTCTGACATAGTCGAGTTCTCATTCCATAATTAAAAGAAATAAATGTATAGAAACTGAATACCAATGTGATTAGTGTTGTGTTACATACTTTAATATATGTGCTGCTCATACTGGTTAGCTGCTTCATGCTTAGCTGAGGAGATAATCCATAATTTAAAACAAAGAAACCACTCTGTTAAGTTTGTGTAGTTAATGGAAGTACTTGACTATACGTGAAGGTAAGAAAGGTCATTCTGGTCCAGTGGGTAAGTCATGAGTAAATCTTAGTAATGAGAACCCCAAATTATTTTAGCTCCCACCATGACCCTGCACACTGGCATTGTCCAAGCCTTTTGGAGCATGGTTAGCAGCAGTCTGGGAGGCGTGAGCTGGCCCCTGGTCACAGCACAGTCTGTGGAGCTGCTTCTGTGCAGTAGGTTTATAAATCCTGAACTGGTGTGTCCTAGAACTGTAGAGCACCTGACACGCTGACAGCAAGGCATAATGAATATGATGTACATGCAGCTAGCTTTTGTTGGTAGTATTTCCTGAGTCATATTTCTAAAATATGATTATATGATGCTCTTGGAGCGCAATTAAAGAGGAAGGTAAAACAATATCTTGCAATGCATGCACTTTTTAGTATCTGTGGCACAAGCAGGAAATCTGATTGTGGCTGGAGGGGTGTAGCTGAGACTGTGTTTGAAACTGCAAACATAAATGCTCCCTTTCTCTCTGGGTCTAATTTTGGTCTCCCTTGCTTTGAGATAAACCCAATAAGGATTGATAAAGTTGCAGATGCTCTTTGTGGCTCAGATCTAAAAATGCTAACATTGGGCAACAGGAAAGGAGCAACCACAGGCTGTGTTTTCATCAGAATACCACACCTGGATGCTGTGGTTAAATTGGCTGGGTTATTCCTTTATCCTTTGTTTTACAGTTTCTGATATATTTCATGCTGTGTATTTCTGGGTACAGGTGTTTAGTTAGCATAGCTGTTGAGACTGAAAACTGTCAGGAGGAGCACTGCATGGCTTTGTGCAAATAAGTGAACCATTTTACTGAAAAGATGAATGTGCCTAGCAATGTCACATCTGAAGTAGCTTCAGTTTTAGCTTGTACCATGAAACTGCTTTTGAAGAGCTTTTAGGCAGGTGACAGTCTGATTCAGTAGGACTGTGGCAGTCCTACTGTGGAGTGGTGGAGACTGTAGGAGAATTCTGAAAGGTATTTGCAGGCTCGTATGGCAGAAATGTGCAACTGTGTTTTGTGCTCAGCCCTTGGTCCAGCCAGTGTCAAATCCCTTTCCTTCCATAGTGGATGTCAATCTGGCACTGTTGAAAAGAAAATCAAGTCAAAAGAGCTGCAGTGTCTTCTTTCAATTTATTTGACAGTGGTATATTAGGTAACATTGTTTCTGAGTAAAGCCAATAGTGAATACATGATTGAGTCCAAATCTCTTCCTGTAAGCCAAGGATCTTCATTACCATTCATGGACCTTTTATGTAATCGCTTGTGTAAGGGTTGCACATGATGCATCATCTACTTTGGAAAAAACTACTCAGCAGGGGCTGTGATTTTATACACTAAAAATGAATATTTAGGACCCAAGAGAAGCAATTCACAATTTTGGGAAGGTGGGGATATTGTAGAAGCATAATTTAAAGTGGCTATACGGCTCTTTTAAAGCATGCACTTTAAAAGATGTATCTTTTAAAGCACTGTTAAAAGATGTATCTAACATTTCCTAGGGTGATCCATCACAAGCTGACTTGTCTGTTTAGGATTTTCCCAAATGTTTTTCTAGTTAGATAAAAGATACACATGAATGTACAAAATGATTTGGCTGTTTTGTCTGAAAGATGACAATTTGTAGAAAACTGAATTTGCCACATTTCTGTCTTTCCTTCGCAGCTGAACTGGTGTTGTGCCTTATATCTTTTTGATTTGTTAGAGTAAATTATATTCATAGAGCAGAAAAGCTGGATTCCATCCTCCATATCAACCTGTTCAGAAACTTAACTTGCATGGATATTTAAAAGAATATATAGGAAAAATCAAATTATTTCTTAAATATGCCACCCCAGGATGAATTAATCCACTAGCAGCACTGTAACTCAGAGTCTGTATGTTGTTGCCCTGGAAATTTGTATCAGCACACTTGTAACAGTTTGATTTCAGAAACTGTGGTGTTGACTCTTAATTTGTTACCTGTAAGTTTTACAGGTGTCATTGATAGGGGCAGTATCCAGCCAGTGCATGTTTCAGTGCAAGATGTGGCTATTTGCCAATGACTGTGCCTGGGAGTTTATATTTTCAGAGGTTTATTTTTCTTTGCACAGACTGATGTCAGTGGTGCATGCCAGTACATTTAAGGAAAAAAAGGAATTCCTACTTAAAATAAGTGATTCTGTGCATTTTATAATATACATGCTTATAAACACAGAAGCCTGGGAAATTATCAGTGTTTGTCAAGGAGGCATGTAAAGGACTCTCTTCAGAGTTGTACAAGTTATGTGCTATAAGGAAAAGAAATGAAATGTAATCATTATCCAAATGCAGTGAGTAAAGATAAGAGCTTTCCACAATTTATCTACCAAATGTGTGTCTCCGTCTAACACAGAGTGACTCTAATACCGCAGTTGTAATATTAAGTCTGCCCACATATTTTGTGCAAAATCTCAGTGGTGAGGCATTCATTGCCTTGAAAAGCTGACACAATGGAATGCTTTTTGTGCTGGCTCTGGACAAATTATAGTCCATTTTATCAGTTCCAAGGTCAGAGTACTATCATGGCTCTTAAACTGTAGTGTAGTAAAGTGGGCTCTATTGAATGTTCAAGGAACAGCCGTAAGTTTGCCTGATTACTGCAGCCAGGTATCTCTAGCACAAGAGACTTTTTGTCTGAACCTATTTCTCTTGTCTACATTCTCATTTTTGCTGTAATTTAATTTCAGAATTGATTTTTGCTGCAATATATATGGAGTTGTAGAGCTAAGACACTCTCAAGACACACAGCAGCCATTGTTAACATGTCACTGTAGAAATGATACATTGCTTGTATCAGCTCGAGTGCTGGTTGAAGCATAAGTCAAAGGGCGCTGTTATTAAACCCCTTGTACTTCCAGAGTCTCTTTCTTTCCCTACCATTCTTGTAGACTACTTCTATTCTTAGCATTGAAAAACCTAAGCCCTTTCACACAAAACCTGAAGTAGATTTGCATGGACTGAATACTTCTCTTTCCTTTTCTAACTTGTCTGCTACTAGCCTTTCCTTCCCTTTCAAAAAAACATGCTATCAGTATGAAACATCATTTTTATGCTCTGCATAAAATATGTGGGAATAAAATAAATAAAATGGTGTGGGAATAATTGTTTTCCTGTGAATAAAAATCATAATATATTTTTTCTTGGCCCCTCTGAAATGCAGAACAATTATTTCAAATTAGGATTGGATTTTTTTTTCCTAATAAAAACTGCATTATTGAGTAGAATCAATTTTTCTCATGGCATACAGTCTAAAAGCTCCTGATATACCCTATGTGGATATGAATATTTCCTTGCCCATTTTGCACTTTCTCTTCTCCCCTTTTACACAGCACCTCATCAGCACTGCTTTTTGGTGTGCAAAGTGGGTAATTTCAGTAACATCTCTCTACCCCTAAACTTCAGTTTTCCTTTTTTTGGTTCACTCTCTTGAGTTCATGACCAATTGCAATGCATCACTGATTCAGTGGTGTGACTTCTGCTCTTGGAGAGCTGGTGAAGGAATGTGGGTGGCTTTCTCTTATCTGCCATGGGACCCCAGCACACATGGGCATCAAAGATCTCAGAGTTCCTGTAAAGTAAAAATGAGGACAAAATGTAAAAAAAACTGACATCTCTTGGTAAGATGGAGCTTAGTGTGTATTTAGGTGATATGATGTGCTTTATTGACTTACTGTCTTAATTTGACTTCTAAAACTTGCTTTATTATTAAGTAGTTGTGGATAATTTTGAAATGGGTACCACCTTGCAATTGCAGCAGCCCTTTTTTAGCCCTGTTTTTTAACTCTTTTGGAATACTGACATAGTCTATAACTTTCTGTAGAGTGATAAGCTGTTGAAATATTTTTTCCTTTCCTTTACAGGGAGTAATATGTGGGAGGCTGTGGACTATTTGCTTCCAACATAGGAACAGCCTTGAGTTGGGATTCTGCACTCCTGAGAGAATGCTGGGAATCTGCAGAGGGCGACGGAAATTCCTGGCTGCCTCTCTGACCATCCTTTTTGTCCCAGCAATTACGTGGATTTATCTGTTTGCTGGGAGTTTTGAAGGTAGGAGAGGAATAATGGCTGAGGGGAGGGTGGTGGGGTATTGGATGATTTGTAGCTGGGCAGACAAATGTAGATCAGTCATCATTGGTTTTATTTAAATAAATTTTGTTTGGCTTGCATATGAAATAGTTCCCAAGGTGCAGATTTCAACAAAAGGCCTTTGTTACCATGTTATCGCTACTGAGGATGCTCAGTTAATTACTGGCCACAATTACTTGGTTTTCCACTCACCTTTGAAAATGTGCAACAACTCCCCCCCGCCCAGTCTACTAATCTTTTCTCTGTATTTTCTAATTTTTAAAAGTTGGTCTATCCTATGCCCTGTAAGATTTTTGGCATCTCATTTCAGAAATGCTGAACACAGAAAATCAATGCATATCTTTGTAAGGTTTCTTTACATAAAAGTAGTTTGGATCCACATCCACCTGACTGTCAGTGGATTCTTTTAGTTGGAATATCTTTCTGTCCCCTTCTTTTTTTAGATGGAAATCCTCCAGTTTATAGGTACATTGACTTGCAGCTATGTAATGAGCACTTTTTAAAATGAGACAGGGAATAATCACTACTTTGTCTTTTAAATTACCTGTCTGATGAAGTTTTTTTCCTGGCCTTACAGATGTTCAGCAGTAATACTTCAGTTAGGGGAGGATCAAGGATTCTGGTTCTCCTGCTCTTTGCTACTTTGTAGCTTTTTAAAATTTGTTTGTTTTGTTTATTGTGGAGGTGAAGCATTTTATATTGGACAATAGGTCTGTTATTTTGGCAAGAGTCAAAAAACGTCGTTTGGCCTTTGTAGTTGCATTAGCATGAAGAAAGGTGTTCCAACCTTGTAAAAACTGTTCAGTCACTAGTTTACAGTTTGATAATTTTAAAAAGGCATTGTTTAAAATGTCAAGCTTCTTTCATGTATCCTTGGCTGACAAATCTGTGCTGTGTTTGGAAACAAAAGAGGTTTCCATGTTAAATCACAAGTAAGAGCATGTAAAGATTTTCTCTGTGTGTTGCATGCGATTCCGAATTAGTTATATTCCATGTACAAATATTTGTTTATGCAAATTTATTCAAGTACTTACAATTCTACCTTAATGTGCAGTAACTCCATGAGCTCATTCTAGAACGAAACACTTGTGGGATTCATGTTAAATTGGAAATATGAGGGGTGCTAGCTGCATACTTAAAAATAATGATCTGGCAGGCAGAACAGTACTGATTTTGTTTGATTTTTAAAAGCTGAGCAAATGCAGGCCTCACCTTTTTGCTTTTGGAAGAATATTATGCTGCTTTGTCATAATGACTATTTTAATTGTGTCCACAATTGATAATGCCACGGTGTTTTAAATTCCTCTGTGAGTAGAATCCTTTGTTTTTACAGAGAACTCAATACAAATCTTGCTGCTATGGGGTATTTGAAGTGACTTAAAGCTCTCACTGTGAATTAATCTTAAATGCAAGCTAGGGAGCAAAGCCCATTACCTATTACATTGTAGCCTTGTACTGGAAAAGGACTGGAAATTATGTACAGTTAGTAACGATCGGTTATTTTTCTGTTTCTGTTTTCTTTTTTCTTAATTTTGGATGGGGATTATTGAATGTTTCTTGGTTAATAAACTAAGATTGATTATTTATTTAGCCAAATAACAGCTTGTATTTTCTTAACATATAGGTATTAAGACAAAAAGTTAATGCCATTTTGGTATTCTACATGACTTCTTGGGTTTTTTTTCTCCACAGTGGTTCCCAGAATTTACTCATGTTTGAGCTCACTGTGGAGGTTGTAGTGAGGTGGGGGTGGCTTTTTTCTCCCAAGTAACAAGCAATAGAACAAGAGGAAATGGCCTCAAGTTGCACCACAGGATTTTTAGATTGGATATTGGGAAAAATTTCTTCATGGAAAGGTTTGACAAACAACAGGCTACCCAGGAAAGTGTTTGGGTGACCACCTCTGGAGATGTTTAAAATAGGTGTATATGTGGCACTTAGGAACATGGTTTGGTGGTGTACATGGCAGTGCTGGGCTAATGGAGGGACTCAATGATCATAAAGGCCTTTTCCATCATAAACAATTGCATCATTCTGTGATTCTCTAACTGAGTAGAAAATGGCTCACAACAGCACTGCGGCTTGATTTGAAAGCATCACGAATGTAGAATCCTCTCTGCCTCCTGGCACTTGTTTCTTTTGTTAATCACAGGGCTAGAAATTTTCTTTTCAGTACATCTGGTTTTAGTTTTGAGTAAATGATTCTTAGGCTTTTCTCCAGCAAATTAAAGAAATCATCAATACTTGGTATCCTCATAGATTCATTTAATTATTCAGTGTGGGAGGGGCCTCAGGAGTTCTCTAATTAAACTGTTGCTCAAATCAATGTGGATTTTGGAATCAGGCAACATTTTTTAGGCCTGTATTCAACAGTGTCTTGAAAACGTCCAAGGACAGAGAAGACATGGACTTGCAGACGCACCATGAATGAGTGCCCCCTCTATTTGAGCCCAACATTCCTGGATAGTTTTTCACACATCTAGTAGTCCACCATATACAGGGTAAAATCCCAGCTTGGATACAAGAATACTGTGCTTAAATTCAAGGGAGATTGCATCAAATGGTCATATATTCATAGTCATGTAATCACAGCAGGCAGTCAGGTTGGTCAAGCATGATTTACCCTTGGTGAATCCAATTGCCATGCCAGGCCTGGGAATGTTTCTGTTTGGAGATACCTAAGTACAGTAGTAAAATCACTGTGGGCTTTTATTCACTAAGTGAAAAGATTGACCTAGCTGAGTTGCCATAGCAAAAAATTTTGTGGGATTTTTTTGTTCTTCTGCATTTTTTTCTTTGTTTGTGTGTTTCAGGGCTCTAGACTCAAATCTCTGATATGAAATCTGTAGTACTGTGTCTGCCTCATAAGTTCTTGATGTAATTAGGAATAACATTACTCATCCATGTGTTTATATCTAAGAACTTAAGTTATTCATTTGCCATGGCATGGGAGTGGGATCACATTAGAAACCCTTAAAAAGCCTTGTTAGTCAATCTGTAATATAAAATATGCCTTGCTGCAGTCTGTTCCCATGCCCTGCTTTTTGAATAGTTTCAAATTCCTTAAGACAGTTTGTTTTATTTTGGATTTTGTTCTCTTGTCAGAAAGTACATGGCAGCCTGCTACTTCACAGTTGTCACTCGACACTTGCAGTAAGACCCTTCCTTTAGGATATTCATTGGAGGTGGTGTTACCCAAGCTGTAACAGCAGTAGCTACTAAAAGTCTCATTAATCATGGATAAATGTCTATTAAGGTTATGAAGAAGAATATTAAAGATGATATTGAATATTCTGTGGCTTTTGAATATTCCTGGTTACTGTTGTTTTTAATAATGCACAAGGACACCATAATTTCAGTTATCTGTTACTTTGAATGAAAAAGCTAATTGTTCCAACATTCTTAGAATTAATTCAAAAGACAAAGTAATAGAGTAGGAAGAGTGGAGTGCATTTAAAACAGAGAAGAGAAAATAATCAAATAGTACATGATGAATTTTCATTAGAAAGAAAATAGCAGTTTCACTAACTAGTGGTAGCTCCATAAATAGCTTAATTTTTCAAGCCATATGAAGCAGTTTGCTCTCCCCCTTACCATGAAGGTCATGTAAAATGGAGATTTGGAACTGTAATTTGACCATACTTTCTGGATTACTGATTCCTCAAAAAAAAAAAAAAAAAGAAAAAGGAAAAAAGTTCACTGTGGCTGTGTGACCTCAGCAGATTTACAGTCACCTCCGTTTCGACAGGATGAAAATACACTTGTGTTACTAGTCCCTGTGTGGTGGATCCACTTGAGGCTGAAATCCTGCAGTATGTGTGTAGAGCTCCTGTGTGGAATATATTTCCCAGGAAAGACAGAGCCAGTAATGTAACCTTAGGATGAAAAATTGAAAGTTGTGTGAGATCCTGTAGGGACTCTGTAAAGGAGTAGTTGACTTTGGTTTCTTTTAACTGCTCGGGTAGCATTTTAAAAAATAGAGCCTGCCTTCTTTCCTGGGACTTGCTTTCTTTGGTTGTCCTCTTTTCACTCCAGTGTTGGGCAGCTATCATTCCCTAACAAGTCATTTCAGTCAAAGTCATCTGTAGAGACATGACTGAAGCCAGAGTTGGGCAAACACCTCATAAAATACAATAAAATAAATTGAAGGAAGGCTGCAAATATTCATCTTTGTGTTTAAATGGATTCACTTTAATGCTGTTCACACTCTTTTTGTGTATGTTTCCATAAATATCCTAGTGAATATGTTAATTGAGAAGACTGTCTATGGGAACAATGAATATCCAGTTTTAATATTCATGGGAAGTAGATTTTGAAATCATATTTGTGAATACTTGAATCAAAAAACTGATTCTGGGGGTTCAGCTTTTTTCAATTAAGTGCCAAAAGTTTATCACGTGATCTGTTGCATGATGAAAACTGCCCAAACTTTTAATGCTTGCATGAAGTGGCTCATAGAAAGAGGCAAACAAATAAGTAATTACTAAAATGTCTATCAGACACTCGCAACTGATGAACAGTCAGCAGAAAATAATTCCCTCACAGACAATGTAATCAAAAAGACACAAAACATACAATTGCTTTTTTTACTATGTTTCCTTCAGTTGGCCCAAATTTTATCTGTTACGTGTCTCAACAGAATTAAACATGACAACTTAATCCAATGTCCATTTAAAACAGAAGCTTCCACCTTTGTATTGATCCTGTCTTTTTAATAAAGTTCTGAGAGGACAAGTCTTGAAAGGGTGCCTCTGCATGTAAGTAAGGGTGCTTCTGTGATGAGTGCCTGAACAGGTGTACAGGAGGTGGATTTAGTGAATATTGGCTCTCCTTAGTCAAAAAGCCACCCCTTCCTTTCCATTCTGGAGTTAATAGTGCTGGCTGACTCCTCTCTTGTTACATTTATTCCAGGTGATAGAGAATTACCACTTAAGCACCTCTGTCTCTACTGCAGTTGCTAT